AACATTGATATCGCTGTAATTTATTTATTTTTCATGGCTGGCAGCTCTGCATTCCAGTTTCACATTACTGTGTCTTCTATGGTCTTCAGTGTCTGTTTACAATTTTATGTTGGGCAAAGACGGATGCGGGGAGACGGCATCCATCCCTTTTTGGATGGAGCAGCTCTTCTTTCTAGGAACATGGCCAGTTTTATTAGTCCTTCATGACAACCCAGGGTCCAGACCAGGAAGCAGAGTCGTAGTTTAACACACCCCTCTGCAGCTTCTGTACTGTTACCCACCCACTACCCCATAGAGACAGTGTCCTGCCCACGGCCAAAATCACACAGATTAAATATCAGGCTTAATAAAGCAAATCATGGAAATCTCATAAATATTAGAACAAATTCAACTGAGCAGAAAACTAGAAAAATTAAATGTGGGTTGTTGAACATTAGATCCATTTTTTCTAAGACTTTGTTAGTTAATGACTTGATTTGTGATAATCAGATCTCTTTGCTCTCTCTCACAGAATCCTGGCTGCAGCAAGAGGACTATGTTAGCTTAAACGAGTCGACTCCTTCAAATTATTTAAATCATCATATTGCTCGAAGTGCAGGGCGAGGAGGAGGAGTAGCAACCGTTTTTCATTCAGACTTATTAATCAGTCCCTTACAGATTAATAGTTACAGTTCGTTTGAACATCTTATTCTTAGTTTTCCTAATCCAGATTGCAAAACTGTAAAACCACTCTTGTTTGTAGTTTTATATCGTCCACCAGGCCCTTACTCTGAGTTTTTGGATGAGATCTCTGATTTTTTATCTGATTTGGTGCTAAATACTGATAAGGTCATTGTAGTGGGGGATGTTAACATTCATGTGGACATTGAAAATGATAGCCTCAATGTAGCCTTTAGTAATATCTTAGACTCAATTGGTTTTACTCAAAGAATACATAGCTCCACCCACTCCTGCCATCATACATTAGACCTTGTGCTGACTTATGGCATAGAGTGTGAGGAAATAACGATCTTTCCACATAATCCAGTCCTCTCGGACCACTTTCTGATAACCTTTGAGTTTTTTATAACTGAGTTCTCGAGACATGAAAGTAAATTTCACTATAGTCGGTCTCTATCTGACAACGCAGTTGCATCTTTTAAATAAACTGTTCCATCTTTACTGTCCTCAGCATCTCAGAGGAACGTAGCAGAGGGCAATATTTTCAGCTGTAGCCCCTCACAAATTGATGCCTTAGTTCATCGTGTGAATTCCTCTTTACGTGTGGCATTAGATGATGTTACCCCTTTAAAAAAGAAGGTAATTAGGGACAGGAAGTTGGCTCCCTGGTTTAACTCTCATTTACGAGCCTTAAAACAAAACTCTAGGAAATTGGAGAGAACCTGGCGCTCTACGCACCATGAGGAGGCCTACTTATCCTGGAAAAATAGTCTTGTACTTTATAAAAATAAGCTTTGACAAACTAGAACTGCTTATTTCTCAGCACTAATTGAGGAGAATAAGCATAATCCTAAATTTCTTTTCAGTACAGTTGCTAAACTTACACAGAATCATAGCTCTGAACCATCTATTCCCTTAGCCCTCAGCAGCAATGACTTCATGGGATTTTTTACAAGTAAAATTAATTCTATTAGAAACAAAATCTTTAGCATCCTCCCTAATGCGATTTCTTCTTCCTCAGTAAGTGAGGCAGCATCAGAGGTGACTGTAGAACCTCATCTGTGCTTGAACCGTTTTGATCCAGTTGAGCTTTCAGAGTTATCAAAAATATTAGCTTCATCTAAACCTTCAACTTGCATTTTGGATCCAATCCCAACCAAAGTATTTAAAGAAGCATTTCCTTTGGTTACTGCCCCCATTCTAAATATAATCAATCTATCCTTAGTAAATGGGTATGTACCACAAGATTTTAAGGTTGCTGTAATCAAACCTTCACTTAAGAAGCCTTCTCTGAATCCAGATGACCCAATGAATTATAGACCAATATCTAACCTTCCATTTTTATCCAAAGTCCTGGAGAAAATAGTGGCCATCCAAGTATGTGAGCATTTAAACACTAATGCTCTGTTTGAGGAATTTCAGTCTGGTTTTAGAGAGTATCACAGCACTGAAACTGCATTAGTGAGAGTTACAAATGATATTCTTATGGCCTCAGAAAATAATCTTGTGTCTGTTCTAGTCTTGTTAGATCTCAGTGCTGCCTTTGACACAGTTGATCACAATGTTCTTTTAGAAAGACTTGAACATGTTTTAGGGATCAAAGGAACAGCGTTAGGCTGGTTTAAATCCTACCTGTCTGACAGATTTCACTTTGTAAATGTACATGACAAATCTTCTTCATACTCCAGGGTTACTTGCGGAGTACCACAGGGTTCAGTGCTTGGACCAATTCTTTTTACTATATATATGCTCCCAATTGGTAAAATCATTAGACAGCATGGGATAAACTTCCACTGTTATGCTGATGATACTCAGTTATATTTATCCATTAACCCTGATAAACCTAATCGGTTGGGTAGATTACAGGCTTGTCTTGAGGACATAAAACATTGGATGACTCTAAACTTTTTGCTTTTAAATCAAGACAAGACAGAAGTTGTCATCTTTGGACCAGAAATCCAGAAAAGGAAATTGCTTAGCCAATCACCTGACCTGAATGGCATTACATTAATCTCCGAGAACACAGTAAGGAACCTTGTGCCCTTTTCAGACAGACATTCTGGAACATTTGCGGACAATTACACACCGGAACTGTGTTTTCAGACACACCACTTTTGTACCGGAACTTGTCCTTTCGGCTGCGTTCACACAGCAGGGAAAAGTTCCAGATGTCTGACGGCGGCGGCGGGGGGGGGGGGGAATCGGACTTATGTTAAGTAGAAGAAGAAAATATCATTTCTATAGCGCCTCTCAAGATAAAAATCACGAGGCGCTTGAGCATAATTCTGCGCACACGAAGACGCATAAGAGACCTGGATGATGAAGCTCAATGGTTAAAGGAATCACTGAAGCGGTGTGAAGCGGTGTGAAGCGCTCCGTCGCGCGTCTAGGCGGTACCGTAGGAGGCGAGCTGCCGTTGTTCGCTGCATGCTACAGGAGCGGGCTATCTAGGTGCGCACAGCGTCCCCCGGTCCCCTCCTCCTCCACCTCCTTCCTGTCCGGAACTCTACCTCACCAGTCTGAAGCAGCCACCCTGTCCGTAACATGTCCGGACCTGTTACTAGGGGCTTCGTCCGGTAAAATTCCGGAACACGTTATCCGGATGTTTGTATTTAGACACAAAGGTCTTACGGACAGAATCCGGAACATTCCCGTTTTTCATGGCCTGTCTGAAGGGGGCTTCTGTGTTATCTTTGACCAGGACATGTCATTCAAATCCCAGGTTAAACAGGTTTGTAGGATTTCCTTTTTCCACCTTCGGAATATTGCTAAGATTAGAAGCATCCTTTCCAGGAGTGATGCTGAAAAACTAGTTCATGCATTTGTTACATCAAGACTGGATTACTGTAATTCATTACTCTCAGGAAGTCCACAGAATGTAGTTAAAAGTCTTCAGCTTGTCCAAAATGCTGCAGCTAGAGTTCTGATGAGAATTAAAAAGAGAGATCATATCTCTCCTGTCTTAGCTTCCCTACATTGGCTGCCTGTTAAATTCAGAATAGATTTTAAGATCCTTCTTCTCACATATAAAGCTCTTAATAATCAAGCTCCATCATACATCAGTGATCTGATTGTTCCATACGTTCCTAACCGAGCACTTCGCTCTCAGACTGCAGGTTTACTGGTGGTTCCCAGAATATCTAAAATTAGGATGGGAGGCAGATCTTTTAGTTATCAGGCTCCTCTCCTGTGGAACCAGCTCCTAGCTTTAGTCCGTGAGGCAGACACTTTGTCTACTTTTAAGAATAGGCTTAAAACATTTTTATTTGATAGGGCCTATGGTTAAAATCTGATGTTAGCCTAAATCTGGACAAGTGGGGGAGTACAGGGAGGTGGAGTGTACAGTCGGTAAAGACGGCTCTCCCTTGCCCTGCCTCCAACATGCCTCCATCTAAATAGGATAGATTATCCAGAGTTCTCTCTGTAGTTATGCTGCTATAGGCTTAGACTGCTGTAGGATACACTGACCACTTTTCACACTCGACTACTTTCTTCTACTATCTGCTCTTTAACTGCATTATTTTCTGCTATTTCAGCTGTTAACTTGATTTTCTCTCTAAGTGTTTTTCTCCCCAGAAGAAGCTACAACGATGTTCTGCTGAGCTGTGGTGGCCTCATGGAGGGGGCCATCGTCTAGCACACTGCTGCTAACCACTTAAACATTCTCTCTCTCCTGATAATAACTTTTTGCTTTCCTTGACGTTGGACGTGCTACTACTAGTTTATCCGTTTAATTATAGATTCACTAGGATAAATACAATAAAGTTTATCTCCCACCGAATAGAATATTTACTAAGACATCACAATGTAACTATAGATACGTTACTTGTGTGTGTGTGTGTGTGTGTGTGTGTGTGCGCGCGTGTGTGCCTGCTCTGTCTTCTCCATCCCCAGTGAGTCGTGGTGGATGGCTGCTTATACTGACCCAGGATTCTCTGGAGGTTTCTTCCTGTTAAAGGGGAGTTTTCCTCTCCACTGTCACTACATGCTTGCTTAGTATGAGGATTGCTGTAAAGTCACTGACACTAGTCAGTGACTCGATGCAATTTGCTGGGTTCCTTATATAGGAAACATTATTTCTGATTGGCTTAATGAACTGACCTGAATTGGAATGTTTATTATGCGAAGTGCCTTGAGTCGACTCTTGTCGTGATTTGGCGCTATATACATAAAATTGAATTGAAAGGTAAAAGGCTTGTTGTGTAGAAACAATCTGTGCTGACTGAAATCCGAACTAGTTAGGAACGGGGAAGCCTGAACATTATGGGTCAGCAACAAACCATGGATTTCCTAAAGCTTGTTTGACATGCTCCTGAAGTTGGGCTGAGGTTAGTGTGTACCTTCATAGACAGCAGGCGGGTGAGGTAGATCTCAGGAATTGCCTTGGCCCGCTCCCTTTCCCTCAGGCTGCCTCTACGATGTTTGGGCAGCTCGGGCTCCTCGCTGGCCTTCACCAGATGCCACAGCTTCACTCCACCTTCATCTGCATCCTCCAGCATTGGAGTCTCTGTACACACAGTGTGCTTACTGGAATTACTCAGGTTCAATGTCCAGCAGCACATCCCACTTTAAAGGGGAACTAGGCAGTTTTGGCTTGCTTTTAGAGCCCCCTAGAGCCCATTTGTAGAACCGAAAGCAAAACTTGTCTCATTGCTGTGCGTTCGTCTTTCTCCCGGCCTTCTTTAGTGTCTACAGAAGTAATTCATCACAAAATTAAACAAATCAGCTGTGTTCATGATCTAAAACATGCAGGAAACATGCTGGAAGCAGACAGGAGCGACAGGTATGTCAGCTCCAGTTTTTCCAATAGACCGGACCGGCAACTCTGAAGTTGCAAATGCTGTATTCTGGCCACAGGGGGCGATACGGGGCTGGGTGGCCTTTCATTAACTCTGTAAAAGGTCATTTTAGCAAATACTGGCTCCAAAAATGATTTAAAAATATGAAAAAAGTATCCCTTTAACACTGTGGAACAGAAAAATGTCATTATTTAAAAGGAACTCACTTTCTCCAGGCAAAAAATCATGGCTGTCGTAATGAATGTTCTTGGTATGACGAGGAACCAGAGCAACTGTTGCACCATCTGGGACCTGACAAGCCAAAAACATGTATGACCATCATGGATTTTGCTCTCAGACATGGTTGTCTTAAGCCTTTCTCACCTTGTAATGCTGCAGCGTGTTGAGGCGTTTCCAGTTCCCTTGAAGGACAGACGTCAAATCCTCATCTGACAGGATGAGGTGACCAGCAACTCCAGACCTCCACTCTAAATTCAAAGCAACAGCATGTGGGGAATTAGTCATCATTACAAGAGGATTCAGGATTTGTATGCTAGTTTCAGCGATTTGAATGTGAAGCCTGCAGCTATTGGTAGCCAATTGAGCTCAGTGAACAGAGGGGTGACATATGCTCTTTTAGGCTGATTGAAGACCAGACACACCGCTGCATTCTGGAACATTTAAAGAGGTCTCACTGTACAGGCGGGAAGACCAGTTATAAGGGCATCACAGTAGTCAAGGCATGAGATGACAGTAGAATGCACCAGGAGCTGGGTGGCATATTGTGTTAGGTCTGATCTTTCGTATGTTATAATGTGCAAAATGGTATGAACGACCAACAGAGGCGATGTGATCTTTAAAGGTCAGCTGATCATCAATCGCAATACCCACATTTTGAATTGTCTTTAAAGAAGTCACATATAGACAATTATTTTGGATTGAGATATTGTGCAGTATGGATGGTTTCGCAGAGATGAAAAGTAATTCATTTTTAGAGAAGTTGAGTTGGAGATGGTGGGATTTCATCCATCTTGATAGACAGTCCGAGATTGGTGTGAAGACTGTGTGGTTATCTGGCGGGAATGACAGATAGAGCTGGGTGTTGTGGGCATAGCAGTATTAGGAGAAGCCATGCAATCGAATGATCTCACCCAGTGAGGTGGTGTATATGGCAAAGAGAAGAGGTCCTAATACAGAGCCCTGGGGGACTCCTGTGGCAAGATGGTACACAGCAGAAGATTGTCTGAGTCAAGATAACCTGAATGACCGTCCTGTCAGGTACGATTTAAACATGGAGGGTGCTTTCCCTGTTATAGCCATGCTAGAGTGTGGACAAAAGGAAGTCCATGGTTGACAGAGTCAAATACAGCCGATAGATCAAGCAGGATAAGTACTGAGAATTTGGCAGTTGCTCTAGCTTCATTTAAGGTTTCAGTCACTGCTAGTGGAGCAGTTTCAGTGGGGAGGCCATTTTTGAACCCAGACTGGTATGGGTCAAGCAGACAGTTTGGTGAGAGGTGTCCTGTGATCTGCTTGAAGGCCACCCTATCCATGATTTAGACATAAACGGGAGGAGGGAGATAGGTCGGTAGTTCTACACATGATTTGGAGGAAAGGAAGATTTAACCTGATCATGCTTGAGAGAGGTGGGAAATGTAACAGATGTTAGTAATGCATTAACCACATGTGTGACTGCTGCAGCTACTGTAGGAGCAATTTTTGGAGCAGCTTAGTCAGAATGGGGGTTGAGTGGGCACGTAGTAGAGCAGCTACACGTGAGAAGTTAGGACACATCTTCATCTGTGTGCAGACGAAGCGGTACAAGTGATAATGGTGCTGGTATTCATAATTGTATCCTTCTCAGCAGCAGCACTGCAGGTGCTCTCCATGTCTAAAATGTGTGTAAGCCAGGTCTTAGTCAACAAAGTTGTGCAAATTTTTCCGCTAAGTTTTCCTTTATAAATCCCAAAGTTTGTGAGGAAAGTTGCTTACGCAGTTTTCCGACCCCGTTTTGTGCGTAAGCAAGCTTGATAAATGAGACCCCTGAACAGTATTGAAATGTTTACTGTGTGAAGTGCCTTGAGACAACTCTTGTTCTGACTTGACGCTTTATAAATAAAGTTGAATTGAATTGAACACATTGTTTGCACAAAGCAGAGACCAAATCCCTGGACCTAATTACTGCCAGCAATGCAGACAAAGCTTTGACACTGAATGGGGCCTGCCAGGTCTTACTATTATCCTCCACCTCTCTCAGAATCATCTCACCACCAGATAGCTCTGCCCCTTTTTCACCCGAGTGTCCAAAATATAAACACAACAAAGTGGATGGTCAAGCTATGGCCCAAGGGTTCCTGGTACAAAGAGCACACATGGACTCCACATGTTTTTTTTTATGGACAATTCAGATTGGGGGGAGTTTTACTGAAAGGAATGCTCTCCAGCACCCCCTCCAAGGGTGGATAGCAGCACCTGCTGTTTGGTGCATACGTATAAATAACAGCCAGAACCCGTTCCCTCTACACATAGGTGCTGGAAGGCCTTTCATTCGCCAGAATAATTTTTGCTGGCTTAAACTGAGTAAAGTTATTGGATATCAGTCATGGCACTATGTTCATGACCACGGTCCTCATGATGAAGAATAGAAGATTTCTCTGAAGTTGAACCTATCATGAACCTGGATGTGAAGAAACAGCAAAGAATTTTGTTTTTTGGAGCCGAAAAAAATGGGCCAAAACTGTTAGAATCTAGAAATTATTTTAACTTTGGCAACTAAACATTTCCATTTGATGACAGAGTGATTTCTTTTAGAGCTGGAGTATACATGCTTTGAATTACGTGTATGTTTGTTTATCACGGCTGCATCACCCCCAAGCCGGTTGAGCCCAGAACCCAGCGACCCCCGGGACCCAGGGGGGACCAGCCCCGCCAGGGACACAACAGAGCCAAGGGACTCAGATCCCACCAGGCAGCCACTGGGATTGATCAGACAGACGCCAAAAATCTTAAACCCCCTGACCCTGGAGCCGTGAACACTCAGGCAGACCAAGGCATCACGCTCCACACCAAATGCGGCAGGGGGAGGGCAGGCGAAGATGTGTAGTAGCAAAAAAAGATCCAGGAGAGGGGAGGAGTCCAAGACCCCACCTGACATATACAGCCATACACAGACAAAGTCACACACTCCCTCCCTCATGCTCACACACACACACAACCTAAGACTTACAAAAATGAACACTAGACACCCACTCATGCTCTCCATACACAGCCCATTCACTCTGGCCCCGGTACTGCTGCACATGGGGTACAAACATCACCGGTTCCCAGAGTTAGCCCCTTTCTGCTGGGGTGCTGATGAGCAGGCTTCCTTGCCCAACGCTGAGCGAAGCAACCCACCACCACAGACCCCAACATGATGGCCAGATCTCCCGCCTAGCCTCCAGCCCCAGGAAGCCAAGCGACAACAGAGGGGTGCTAAGACCCCTAGTCCCCCTCTGCCTGCTTCAATATAGTGTTAGTGCGTGTTGATGAGGTGTATTCGTGCCTGTGGTATGCGGGCAGTGCAGGCATCGTCTGGCCTACGCCAGCTGATGCCACCACACAACCCCACTTGCACCCAGAGCCCTCTGCGTCTAAGTGCAGTTTAAAAGTGGAAGTGGGCACAGGCACTAGGAATGAGGCTGAAAAATCCCCCTGCCAAATGCTGTTGAATGTGCTCACTCCCAAGGCCCTAAGTGTGTGTTTGCGTGGAATGTCGTTGGTGGAAGTGTTTAAGGTGCAAATAAAATTGGGGGGCAGGCTGCCACAGGAATGTGGAAATTAGGTCCATACCCGCACTCCCTGACTTGTCCACCCCCAAAGGTCCTATGTGCATGATTGTGTGATGATGTTGGGGAGCAGGAGGAGAAAAATGTGTGGGGATGGGGAGGAATGACTGGTTGGCCTAAGTCCCCCAGGGAGCCAGCTCCCCCCACTGGCCCCAATAGATAGCTCTGTTGCCAAAATGCCACCCAGTCCATCTTGCCAGGGCCCAAAGCAGCAGCAGCATCGCCCCATGGAGTCTGTGGACACCAACCCAGCCCCACCCCAGCAGAATATCTACTCCCATCCCTGCATTTGGTGTGGATTCTTACTAGAGGTGGGAAAAATGATCGATTCTAAGATGCATCGTGATTCAGCCGTGCATGATTCCGCATCGATGCAGCAACGTGACATAATGAGATTCTCTCCCTATGTCTATGTCGGGGGCCGGCAACCCACGGCTCTGGAGCCGCATGCGGCTCTTCCATCCATCTGATGCGGCTCTCTGTGCTTGTAAAATAATGAATGGATATTTAAATAAAATGCTTTATATTTTACTGCATTAATTTTACATCTGTATGCCAATTCTAAATGTAAAGATTGTCTGCGTAAACCTGAACAGCTCCAACCCGGTCTACTGTGTGACCGGGTAGACACGTCACGCTTGTCCTGAGCTGAAGAGGATGTGAGATTCTGGGATTCTCCTCAGACGGCTCCTGGGTGTGTCGCCACATTGGAGACAGGAACAAGCGCTATTCAGCCAAAGTTTCATAATCAGGGAACATTTTCTAAATGACAAGTCTCGCATCTGTCGGAGGAACCTTCCCGCATGCGCTCTCGTTCTGCGACGCGTTCCAAGCCCCTCTCCACATCTTCAGCTCGCTGTGTACCTTATGTAGTACACGCTGACAGTGAGCTGCGCTGAGCAGTGTCCAGCTCAGATGCTCAGATGGGAATCTTTTCTTGAGTGATTTAGCTACATCTGCGATGTGCGTAGAATAAAAATGTCAGTTCGTCTGCATGCGTCGGGGTAATTCTTTCTATTCTTTCTCCGTCAAAATAAACGGCCAAATACGGGAACTGTCCGGTCAACACAAGCCCTGCTTTTAACTGTTCTGTTTTCTTGTGAAAATTGTTACAAATTTAACGTGATTACCACCAGAGCCAGGTGCACTGAGCCGTTGTCTCCGTCGCTGTAAATGAGGGGAAAACAAAATGATCGGATCCTTTTCTGACCTTCCCCACCTACAAAGTTTAATTACAACAATCAAATGTGACAGAGCCTGGATTTGTATTCTGAACAGTCTAAACATGTTTTAAAAAGAAACGTATGACAAAAGTGGCACCTGCTCAGTAAAACCACCAACAGGGTGAAAAATATCTAAATATTGTAGCAGAGACGGGCTACAACTTCTGGATCCACTTTATATAAATCGTTTTATTGATTATCGTCTTATGAAAGATAACTTTGACGTAGACGAGCGACCGGTACCGGCTGCTGTCACCTGTTGTGAGCAGCTCTCTGCTGTCTGAGGGTAGGCCCCGCCCACAACGCCGCGGCTGCTGTGGCTCCCAGTGTTTTCTTTACTGTGGGAAACGGGTAATAATGGCTCTTTGATGGGAACAGGTTGCCGACCCCTGGTCTATGTCTATGCAGGACAATAAAGTTTTGAGGTTTTATAATTACTTCTGGGGGCAGAGTTGCAATGACATGCGCACTGCGTTGCCCTAGAAGCAATTGGACAGGGATACAGGGCCAACATTACCAGTAATCAAAGATTTACCCGTTACATTTAAATCGGATGTCTATGCTAATTTCGGTTTTGGGATCCTGGATGTGAAAGAATCACTTAACACAGTATTTGTTTACTATTTTTAAGTTCAGTAATATTCTATCTTAAAGCTCTACCAAAAACATTATTTCTTATATTATTTAAGTAATTATAGGCAGCACACTTTAAACATTATTGCTCACTATAGTGAATAGATGAATGTTCTATTTTTTTGGAATTTTGAAATAAAAAAGAAAATGAAAACTATTCTACTGCTTTTATTAAGTAATGAAAATTTTTGTGTGAAGAATCGTGATGCATTTCAGACTCAAATCGAATCTTTAGGCAGATAATCGGAATCGGATCGAATCGTGAGGCAGGTAGAGATGCACACCACTAATTCTTACCTAAATCCAGTGAGTTACCATGGGGCCGGTGAGAGAAAGAGGTGCCTTTGTACACCTGATCCAAGAGTTTTTCTTTCACCTGAGTGATGGTATCACAGTCCAATACTTTGATGGGCAGCAGCTGAGTCTCGTTCACTCCTCCACTCTGCACCAACACATTCAACGTCTTCAGAAGAACAACCAGGAGAGAGGAAAGGTACAGACGAATAAATATTAGTTCAAAAATAAACCCAAAGTTTCTATGGTCACTGGCATCTTCTGGCAAGCAGTTTTACTAAAGTTGGAGATCTTCTCACCAGGGTCTTGTACTCCACATCCTCTCGCAGCAGACGGTTGTCATTGAGAGTGTATTTGGCCTTCCCTGTTACAGCATCTACCGGTCCTTTGTCAACCTGGTGTTTAATGGCCCTGAACAACATGTATAGAGACTCGCCAGCTGAGTCCTGTAGGCACACACACACACACACACAGCCAAAGAGATCACACCCATATGTGTATTTAGCATTCTTAATCAGTTTACATCTTTAAATAAAACCAAACACACCACCAGCTCCTCTGCATGTAAAAAGCGGCGGCTCCACTCCAAGTCTCTGTCTTCTGTCACCTGTCTGAACTATCTCTAAGGCTGAGCCCTGCCATCCTACAGAGGAAAGTCATTCCAGCTGCTTGAATTCATGATCTTGATCTTTTGGTTACCCAAAGCTCATTACCATAGGTGGAGTTAGGAACAAAGATCAACCAGTGGATGGAGAGCTTTGGCTTCTGGCTAGCTCCCTCCACCCCTACTCTAACCCACTTCACTGCATGAACCATACCTTCAGGATCCCTGCACATGCCGCTAGTAACTGTTTCATCAGTGACTTGAGCTAACTGGATGGATATTTCTGAGGGCGTTTTCTGTCACCCGATGGTCCTCTAGACTTTCTGAGTGTTTGTCTCTGGCTGCTGTTTCACTCATGTTCATCTGAATCCTTGTTTCTGATTTTATTTGATCTATTAATCCTTCATGAAAAGAAGAACATCCTAAATCATAAAGAACAAGCCTTTTAATATATGAAATAATCCATCTTCAACTATATCAATGGGCCTTTTCTACGTACTAGTCTGGACTAAAGCATGAATAGAGTAGAGAAGAGAACACAGTCCAATCAGTGGGGACACTTTGATTCACATAGGGGCTGGGTGATCTTTCATTACCCTGTAAAGCAGGGTTATTCAAGTCTGGGCCTCGAGGGCTGGTACCCAGCATGTTTTAGTGGGGTCTCTCTCTCTCTCTCTCTCTCTCTCTCTCTCACTCTCTCACTCTCTCACTCACTCTCTCTCTCTCTCTCTCTCTCTCTCTCTCTCTCTCTCTCTCTCTCTCTCCCTCCTGTGTCTCAGTCGCTTCACACGCTCCCAGCAGACACAGTCAGCAGCAGATCACAGAGACGTACCATCGTTATCTGAGCTCAGCCACTGGTTGGAATATTCAGTAAAGCTGGATGCGTGCTTTTGTTTCCCATGTCGTAAATCGAGAAAAGCAGATACTACATAAAAACTATTGGAGAAGTAGTTCAGTTCCTAGCACTAAATGAACTCGTGTGGAAAGCTCCAGTGGTGATGATTTCTCTGCAGGACTGTTCTTAAAAATGGTCGACTACACTCTGGCCAAAGACTCCAAATTTAATGAAATAAACAAACATCCCAGAAAGTGCAAAATACACATCTCACAACATACAAAACAAATGACTGCAACACTGGCAAACATGGTAATAAAAAGATCAAAAATAATTATGACAAAGCAGATGATGCTGGTTTTTAAAAGTGATGGAAGTAGGGACAGATGAGGAGAATCAGTCAGTCATGGTTAGATTTGTCTGTGACGGCATTCCAGAGGAACGCCTGATCGGTCTGCTTGACCTCAGTCAGTTAGATGCTGAATTTATTATCACCCAAACCCTTGAGCATCTCTCTGACTCAGGCTATGGTGCAGCTGAAATGATCAGTCAGTGCTGTGATGGAGCTTCTGTCATGAGTGGGTCAGGGGTGGGGTTCAGGCCTTACTGCAGAAGAAGGAGGGAAGGATGTTCCCTACATCCACCAGCTGCACTTGGCAGTGGTCCATGCAATGCAGGCAGAGCCATGTGCAAAAATCTCTTCTGATCTTTCAGGATCGCTACACTCATTCTTCCACCATCATTCAGTTTCACAGAACTATGACGTTCCCTTAGATTAAAGACATAAAAAAGATAAAACCTTAACAAATTAAAAGACCGACCGACCGACCGCAGCTTGGTGTGTGTGTGTGTGTGTGTGTGTGTGTGGAGGGGAAATTACTACTGCTTTTGGGGGAAATTAAAAGGTTAAATGAAAGCTTGTTGGGCTGACGGTCACAGGTAAATCTATTTGTAGGGGTTGACGCACTGACCCGTAGAAAAGCATAAAGGCAGATGGACATCCAGTTGGTCAGCAGCTTCTCCACCACAGTTTCTGTTCTGTAAAGAGACATATGATAGACAGGCTGCAGACCGCCTTTGCAAAGGCTAAAATGAAAAAATACCTTGAATTGTGTCCCTTTTTTTACCTCCGCAGCATCAGTTTGGGGTTCTTGGCCACATACTGCTCAACCAGGTCATTCAGCAGAGTCTTGAGGATGTCTGTGAAATACTCCAGTTTACCATGAAGCGCCACTGTCAGCAGGGAGGCCACGTAGGCTCGATCTCTGGGTGAGAACGTCCGCTGGCTCTCCAAAGTGTGAATGAACTGTTAAAAATAAAAAGATAAAGCTGAAGATTGTTCCAGGTTTTGTTTTTGAGTGGATGCCAGTTGCCTGATGACTACCTTTGTAAGGAAGAGTTTACTGTTCAGTAAGTTGGACAGCTGCACTAGGCCCTGTTCCACGGTCTGACGCCGACATTCCTGAACATCTAGATCTCGCCTAAGTGGAGACTCCCGGTGGCCAGGAAAGAAAATACGCTCCGCGTACATCCTGTAGTCGAGGAAGGGGATGCCTGAGCCCACCAGGTCACTGGACATATCCATCATTTCTGTCATCAGGTCTGGAAGAAAGGTCAAAAGTCAGAAGCTGATGACAGCTCTCGCATCACTTTCTTCTAATTTAAATTTGGTTCCATGTGTGAGCTGAGAGGCCTGTAAGCAGCTTAGAAAGCTACTCAGGTACAGCTGTGTGGGGCAGGAGGAAGGGCTGTACAGTGACGCATTTATAGAAGACCTTCTCAAACAGCAGTCTAGTAGACTGGACAAAATCAGAATGTTCCTTTTGGCTCTGAACAAACACAAAGACGATGAAATCCACAACATACAAATGATTTTGGTACATTCTGTAACACAAGCGTACTCTCGTGTTTAATGAACAGTACACATCTCATAGTATTTTTAATGAGTCAGTAAAGTAAAGATGGCAGAATGAGGGCAAAACACACAAGCAGGTCATGGTCTGTGTGAAAACGTGTTCTGTGTCACCTCCTCTGAGAGTGCACAGAATCTCTGCTTGGACTTCCTGGGTTCATGTAGCAGGCCCTCTGATCTTCAGCAGACCAGGTTGTATTAAAACAGAACAGAATGTGACACACATGCATCAAACTGCCCTCAGGGTGCAGGTACAGAGCTACACGGGGCAGGGCAACAAGGGAGACATGTGTGAGGTGTATTATGTATGGTAGGAGGGGTAACTGTTGTGCAGTCCTGTGTTGCTGTGTCCGCTGGGCAATGGGACGAATGATTGGACCATGAACGATGAGGTAATTTATTTGATTGGCTGTTAGTAAGTTTGCTAACGACTCATGCAGGTGCACAGATATTTTACATGCACACAGATCATCGTGGAGGTAAGCATCAAGAAAAGATTTCTATCATCGTATCTGAGCATCATCTGACTCTCTGCTTGCATCTCGCTGCTGTCAATAGGGCTGCAACAAACGATTATTTGGATAATCGATGAATCGGATGGGGTCTCGACACGATTAATTGATTAATCGGATTACATAGGGACATTTTTAAAAACTGCTAGGGAAACGTTATTTTTCTCCTTCCTTCACTTTATTAAACACAACATTATTAGAAAACAGTTCAATAGCAGAAAAACAACATGCCATCACCTAAATTGTCTTATAAGGTGTATAGAGAGAGACCCTAAGCTACACCTATCTGTGACCTAAAATGCTTGGTCCAAGTTAAACAGCTTAAAGAGCAAGTCAACCCCTACCAGAGTCTAACTCCACTCCCACTTCATGTTTGAAAAATGCAACAAATGCTGTTGCCTGGCAGGCCGAGAGGGCGGAGCCGCTAACAAATACACACACACTCAGGCTCACGACAGCATTGTGACATCATAATGTACCAGTTTACATCATAGCATACTTCTTAGCCAATATCGGTGGCAGATTTAAATTAAAATACAGTGCAGAGTTTTTACCTGACAAAGGCACAATACTGCCAGTTTTAGGCAGAATATTTAAATTTTAACTAAGATGCACTGAAGTGCCAAATTATTGACGACACGTGTCTGCAGCACGATGAGACACTTGTTTATTTAGTTTATCAGGAAAAAAAAGTTTATTTGGGGGTGACTTGCTCTTTAAGGGCAATTCTCATCTGTTTTGTTTGATCTCATCTGTAGACATTTATTATAACTGGGGATGTCAAACAACTAATTTTTAAATGTAATTAAACATAGGCTGTGAATTAATCAAAATTAATCACTATTTCCAAAAATGACTGAAAAAATACCAAATAAAACAAAAGTAAATGAATGCCATCCTCCTTGCGATGATGCCATGGGCAACTGCCATAAAGTCACATCAAGAAATGCTGCTGATCATTCCAATGAACCCAAATAGACTCACATTAGGCCACATGAAAGCAACTGAACCCAAAAATATATTAACCAGTATATAACTGCACTCTCACACAACACGCCTGCAGCAACAGTTAGGACTCCTCCCTCCCTTTTAAAAGCGTTTTCGCTTCTGAGGACATTGTGGTTGTAAAGCCACGTGCTAGTAGTCTAGCCCCGGTGTGATCAAACAGTTTCTGCGGGAATGTGACGGCGGAACCGGTTCGCAGCAGCGCGAGTCCCCCCCCCCGTTTATCTAATAAGCGTTGCGCTTACGATTTTATAGACTTTTTTAACGAGCTTAGGGCATGTCTAGCTGTGTAATAATCCGGGGCTTGGGTGAATCACTTTTGAAAAGTTTTTAACTTACCCGGACACAGAGCTCTCTCCTTCCTCGCTGATGGTTCTGACATGCTTGCGTTTAAGACGCTGCATCATCACTGTAGTACTCCCGTGCCATGCTAAGTCTGACCTACAAACGTTGCAGGTAACAAATGTCGTCACTTGATTTAACTGAAAATGCTCCTAAACTTTAGAAGTTTTTACTTTTTTGGGTCTCGCTGCTTCTGCCATGTTCCTCTTCCAAACACCTGCCAGCTCTGCGGTCTGCGCGCAACGGCGGGCGGGAGGGGAGGGGGCTTTTGGAAGAGTTGTGCAACACAACGAATCGATGACGCAATTCGTTGCCAACGCTTTTAGTAATCGATTTTCATCGAATTTATCGATTCGTTGTTGCAGCCCTAGCTGTCAGTATGCCCAAGCGGCACGCTGAAGGTGAGCTCGGAGCGGCAGCGGGCCAACCCTTCTACCTTTCAGAGAGTCTGCTAGACTTTTGGCTATTTCATCTTGTTACGTCGTCGGTGTGAGGGTCTTGACGTCGCTTGGGGGGGGGGGGGGGGGGTACGGATCCATGAACAACTCAAGCCCTGATTGGAGAGAGATTCGGTGAGACGAGTTTGTTGTTGTTTGTCTTTGTGGTACAGAGAGAAAATCCTAGGTGACCAGAGAATAAAGTGGTGTTGTCCGGCGTGAATAGGACGGTTTAGACGGGTTCTTTTGAATGCTGTCTTTATTGGCTTGGTTTTCTGCATTTTAGCCAAAATTAGAAATGCAACTCTGGTGTAAGAAATATATGGTGTCGTCCGCCATGAATAGGATGGTTTTAACAGATTCTCTGAACGCTGTCTGTATTTGGCTTGGGTTTTGAGCATTTTAGCCAGAGAATTACAAACGAGCTCTAGTTATTCTGTTGTTTGCTGTCTTAGATGTTGTCTGCTTTTATTGTTGTTTGGATAAATGAGTGTATGGATTGCTTTGTACGTGTGGTATCTAGGAAGCACAGAGCGGTGGAGAGGAAAAGGGTTGAAAATGTGAAACAGAGGAGGCAAAGCCTGCCTAAAGAATCAAAACAGCCGCAGCGGTGCTCTGTTGAGCCACCAAGGTCAATTAAGGCCTGAGGCTACTTAACTAGAACATAATGCTAAAAAGTTAACTCCTTGTTGCAAAATGGTCACTACAGTGGACAGTTTCTCAAAACTGTGATTTACTTATTTGTTTTTGCTATTAAGCACAGCTGTTGAGTACTTTATTGCATTGAGACCCTCCGTGTGGACTTTGGTAAGTCCAGTCAACACGTTCCATGTTCAGAATGCACGCTGTCCACAGAGGTGGACATGTAGTAAAATTATATGCAAATTATGAAATTTGTTTCATTCACACCTAAAGATAAATGAAAGACATTGTTAAATAATCCTGGTTGAAGATTTTATAATTCATGTGTAGCGACATGAATGGCCTCATTTGTGACCCAAAGCTCACACTTCCTCTGCTGGGTCAAGCTGTCCTGGCTGTACTTCTATCTACAGATTATCCATCACAGGAGACACAAAGTCTGCTGTAAACCATCTTTAATCTGACTGCTGTTCCATCCGCAAGATGAAGGACACTTCAAGATTTAAAAGAATCATTTTTAATAAAATCTTTTCACTGTCTTATTACAATGTTCATAAATAATCAAAGGTTCATAATAAATGTATTTAATTACTGAAATGAATTATTATTCTTTGGTTGATAATAATTGTTGTTTATGATAATCGGTAATGTTTAACAGTGTAAAGAAGGTCATGTGCACTTATACACACCATGCAGGACACAGTAAATCAGGTTAAGCTTACTGCACTCACATGTCTTTGCTTCATAACACCAAAGCTTTCTGTCTCTGAGAGGCCGTGTCCTGAGGTTTGTTAAAACCTAAACTCCTCAGTTCAAGTTCAGTTCTTGAGCTCACCAAAATCTCTCCGTGGCACGAGAGTCCAGGGGATCGGATCGGCCGCTCGAAACCTCTACTAAGCTTTTCTGTCACGCAGATAGAATTGCTTCAACAACAAATGCCATCTGCAACAAGCTGACGCAAAACTCCTTCAGAGTTATTGATTTTTGAGACGCAACCAGTTTCATCAGTCGTTGTGTCCCGGAGGCATCTCAGGACCGATTTGGTCGCACTACGGTTCTTCTACCCACCTCCTGCTTGGGGGTCATCATCTCTCCTGACATCTCGGATCCAAAAGGGGGTCTCCTAACTGGGTGAGGTAGACACTTCCAACAGATTGTGTCAGGAATGCCTGTTTCATATTACGAAATAATTTAGCTTAGCTGCAAACCAAACTCTTTCACCCAGAACACGAAATCTAAATTTATTTTATAAATAGGATTTAGCTGAGGAATGTCATTTAGCTTACTGAGTGATTCGGTTGTTTCGTAGTAAATTTAATTGTTGTGTTTTCCTTTTAACGTGACTGAGTGTAATTATGCCACTTCTCAGGGCCGCATGCCCTGAAAATGAAAATCACACTGTTTCCTTATCTTAACCCAAACAAAGGAGATTGCTGAGCCACGCTGACCTATTCAGACAGGAGGGATCAGGCGTCCTTCTTCGAGTAAAATAATTAGCTGATTCCTCTTGACAATCTGCTGACTATCTGACGCTTGTGCGTCTGTTAAATACCCAAAAAAACTGATTATGAGAAGAAACAAGATAACGTCAAGCAGAGTATGACCCCTGATAGAAGATGAAGTGACCAGTATTGAAATGTCGAATTTAGGAGTGATGATAAATGTTTTGTTTTTTATTCTGACTCACCTTATCATTGGGACATAAGGGGTAATGTGTGATGTCCTAGACTTTCATGAGTACTGATTAAGTCCTTTTAAATCATCATCTATGAATGATACCAAGATCAATGATACTAAGTATGTTTACTGGATTAGGTCATCACACTTGCAGACAGAGTAAGGCTAAGACAAAGACATGACACATAAGTAACCTTGTCCCACATGTGTTCAGAATCGGAGACTGTGTTCTGAGATGCTTGGCAACTTCTGAGATAACTCCAGGCCTTAAAAAGAGCTTCACTCTCAGTCTCAGCCAGTCAGGCAGACAGAGAGAAGCTCAGAACGGCCGCCTGAGCAAGCCTCTTTCACCAGAAGGATTTTGACATGCTGTCAAAACCTTAAGCTTTTGCACCTGCAAGCTGAGGACAACAAGATATTTTTCCTGCAGAACAAAGCTGATTTTGCGACACTCCTTCAGAGCGGTTTTGAGACGCTTGGTTCCATCCAGCCCACCTGTGTTACCTGGAACGATACTGGACCGGCCTGGTCGTACTAGGAGTTAGTCTACGGACTTCAGCTATGGGTCACAAGTAATGACAATAAAAATAAATAGCTCTTAAGCAATTTATTTAATCCAATTTACCCTCTTATTGACTTTATTACATATGCATCAAAGAGTCACATGCATGGATGCGTCGCCCTAACTATTGGCGGTTGGAAAACTATACCAATTGCCCAACCCTAGTGTGTATCATGACATTTTGCACTGCTCACACTCTAACCTGTGAATTCTTTCTTGCAGCGGTCTCTCACGTTTGTTTCTAGGTTCTCCAGTTGGATCTGGACCTTCTTGTAGTCTTTGAGAGCCTGTTTACTCTTCCTCCTGATGAGGAGCAAACACACAACAGTCAGTGGGTATACAGGAACAAGGACAGCACAATCAGATTTCCAGTTTATGAAGACATTTCACACTTTTATGAGTGGTGAGGCTACCGGAGGTTTCAGTCTTAAGCTAAACAACAAACGGCTGCAGACTCACTAACCTGTAGATGAGCACAACGATAAGGACGAGCAGAACAACTAGAGAAGCCCCAACCCCGACTCCAATCTGAGCCTCCAGAGGAAAGACAGACAGGCTGAGGTCGTCATACTGAACTTTCCCCAGAGAAAAGTTCAGGTTGCCCATTTGTACCTAGAATACACAATCTGTTTTAAACAGCAGCAGCAGGATGTAGCATGCTCACATGGAGCAGTTTGAGAAGTGAAAACATGGTGAACTCACTATGAACTCAGGAAGATAGTCGAAGCCCTCACACTTCCTGCACGTTGGCCCTGGAAGAGGCTGCTGAGGAGGAGGCTCACAGTACAGATGGTTCCTGGTCAGGGTCTTTACAGCACACACCCCCTCCCCTATCAACACCACCACCTCCTCCTTTGTGATGGCCAGGTCCAGGTTGTCTCCCTGAAAAGTCACAGAAAGATTCAACTTCCCTTCACCTCACAAGGCCAGACCGAAAACAAGACAGGCATAAATCATTTGCCTGTTAATGGTGGTCGGAGGGTCTGGTGTTGCCTGTGTTCGGCAGCTGCTGCCTGTCGCTGTGCCCCAGGGCAGTTTCATTCTGCAACCCTTTCAGTTAGGATAATCGTCGGAGCGCGTGCATGGGGGGGGGGGGGGGGGGGGGGGGGGGGGTTAGGGGGCTTCCTCATCGCAAACTAAGATGGTTGAGTCCATGAATGCCAATTTGACAATGTGGCGTGTAATTGTTACAGGCTCTTCTAATCCGAGCAGGAAATATGAGCGACTCAAAGTGACTGGTCATATGTCAAAAATAAGAAGAGAAAAATGGTTTCTCTATGAACTTGGACTTTATGTTTCTTACCTAAAATCCCATAAAGCAATATCAGCAGCTTGATCCTTGACTGAATGAGTCACTTTGGGGCTGTCACTTTAATGCTGGCTGATGCTGGCCACACCCAACCATTCCTTGACTGGCTGCTATGAGCTGAGGATCTCCAATATCTAGCAGGGGCTAGAAGTAGAGCCTTCTGTGATGGGGGAGGGGTTCTATGCCAATGTCCCTATTTGTGGTGTCACAATAAACAACTATTTGAAACAGATCGTTTTAGGCACAGGGCAACAGGATAACTTAGGTCGTAGTTTAATTCAATTCAAAAATACTTTATTAATCCCAGAGGGAAACTGATTGCTGTAGTAGCTCAGAATAATAATAATAATCAAGTCATCAAAGAGTTGTTGTATATTACAACGGCTGTTGGCAGGAAGGATCTCCAGTAGCGGTCAGTGTTGCAGCCAAACTGAAGAAGCCTCTGTCTGAAGACACTCTTCCGTTGTCGGACAGTCTTGTGAAGAGAATGCTCAGGGTTGTCCATCATTTTCTTGATTCTCTGGAGAATCCTTCTTTGCACGATCTCCTCCAGTGGTTCCACAGTCGTCCCCAGAACAGAACCAGCCTTTTTTATTAGGCTGTTGAGCCTTTTCAGGTCCCTGCTTCTGATGCTGCTACCCCAACAGACGATGGCTGAAGAGATTACACTCTCAACAACAGACTTGTAGAAGATCTGCAGCATCTTGCTACAGACATTGAAGGACCTAAGCGTCCTCAAGAAGTGCAGTCTGCTGTGCCCCTTCTTGTAAACAACTTCGCTGTTCTTTCTCCAGTCCAGTCTGTTGTCCAGATGAACTCCAAGGTGTTTGTATTCCTCAACCACCTCCACTTCTTCTCCCATGATGGAAACAGTGTTTGACTCCACCCTGTTTCTTCTGAAGTCTAAAATCATCTCCTTTGTTTTGTTCACGTTCAAGGTCAGATGATTGTTTCCACACCATGACACAAAGTGCTCCACCAGCTCTCTGTACTCAGCTTCCCGTCCATCTCTGATACACCCGACAACTGCAGAGTCATCTGAGTATTTCTGTAGATGACAGGTCTCTGACTTGTACTGGAAGTCTGAGGTGTACAGGGTGAAAAGGAATGGTGAGAGTACAGTCCCCTGTGGTGCTCCAGTGTTACTGATCGCCTGGTTTGACGTGCAGTTCTTCAGCCTCACAAACTGTGGTCTGTTTGTCAGGTAGTCTTTAATCCAGGCGATAGTTCAGGCCCCCACCTGTGTCTTCTGGAGTTTCTGGCAAAGTACATCAGGTTGGATTGTGTTAAATGCACTGGAGACATCAAAGAACATGACCCTGACAGTGCTGCCTGCTTTGTCCAGATGACAGTGGGTTGGTTGAAGCAGCTGGATGATGGCATCTTCAACTCCAACTCCATGGCGATAAGCAAACTGCAGCAGGCCCTGATATGTTCTAGTTTGCTTATTCAGGTGGACCAACAGGAGTCTCTCCAGGACCTTCATGATGTGGGATGTCAGGGCAACCGGTCTGTAGTCATAATGGGTGACTTTGATGATGTCTCATCTAATATACGACTGCATGTCTTGGACAATTGGATGAAGAGAGGGGTGGCGCTGTCAACTGACCATTACCTGGCAGTGAGTTGTCTTCAATGGTGGAGGAGGATGCCGGTCAGACCTGGCAGGCCTAAATGTATTGTGTGTGTCTGCTGGGAACATCTGGTGGAGTCTCCTCTCAAAGAGAGCTTCCGATCCCACTTTATACAGATCTTCGAACACGTCCTGAGGGAGGCGAGAAACACAGAGTCCGCGTGGGCCATGATTTGTGCTTCCATTGTTGAGGTGGTTGAAAGGAGCTACGATAGCAGGGTTATTATTGCCTGTCGTGGCGACAACTCCTGAACCCTCTGGGGGACACCAGCCGTTGGGGATCAAGCTGAAGAAAGGGTCCTACTGGGTCTTCCTGGTCGCAGAGACAAAAACCTGTGCATGGGAGGAGGTTGGTGAGACCATGGAGCAAGATTTTCGTACTCTGGTCCACCATCAGGCACCATAGAAGGAGAAAGCAGTGCACTACCAACACCGTTTACAATGGGGACGGTGTGCTGCTGATCAATGGATCAGTGGGCAGAGCACTTTGAAGAATCCCACCGATACATCTTACAGCGAGGAAGTAGAGTATGGGAACTTTGGGTTGAGCTCTGGAGACAAGGTCATTGAGGTGGTCAAAAAGCTCCTCTGTGGCAAGGCCCCAGGGGTGGATGAGGTCTGCCCAGAGTTCCTTAAGACTCTGTATATTGTGGGGCTGTATTGGCTGACGCGACTCTACAACATTGGATTGGCAGACTGGGCTGATGGTCTATTTAAAATGGAGAACCGCAAGGTGTGTTCCATCTACAGGGGGTCACACTCCTGAGTCAGAGGACCAGGGGTGATTGTGCCTTCTCGGTCGTGGCACCTACTCTCTGGAATGGACTGCTGCTCATTATTGGACAGTCACCATCACCGCAGGTTTTTAAAAGTTGTTTGAAGACACATTTTTATCGTTTGGCTTTTATATGATGGGTTTACATCTTAATTGCTTGTGTTATGACCTTTTTATCTATTTCTTTTAACATTGTTTTATTATTGCATAACTATCTTATGAGATAGCTATGTCATAATTATGTGATAGTTAAGTCATATTATGAGATAATAACTCATAGTTATGAGATACTAAGTCATAATTATGAGATAGTTAAGTTGTATTAAGAGATAATAACTCATAGTTATGAGATACTAAGTCATAATTATGAGATAGTTAAGTTGTATTAAGAGATAATAACTCATAGTTATGAGATACTAAGTCATAATTATGAGATAGTTAAGTCGTATTAAGAGATAATAACTCATAGTTATGAGATACTAAGTCATAATTATGAGATAGTTAAGTCGTATTAAGAGATAATAACTCATAGTTATGAGATACTAAGTCATAATTATGAGATAGTTAAGTCGTATTAAGAGATAATAACTCATAGTTATGAGATACTAAGTCATAATCATGAGATAGTTAAGTCGTATTAAGAGATAATAACTCATAGTTATGAGATACTAAGTCATAATTATGAGATAGTTAAGTCGTATTATGAGGTACTAAGTCATAATAATAAGATACTAAGTTATAATTCTGAGATAGCTATATCATAATAATTTCTTACTAAGTCTTAATTATGAACTAGCCAAGTCATATTAATGAGATACTAAATCATAATTATGAGATACTAAGTCATATAAATGAGATTCGGGTCACATCATTTTATGTGGACCACACGAGACCTCTCAACAGGTCCAAAAACCAACCTGGAACCAAAATAACTCAACAGACACAAAATCCAAACCCAGCTCAGATGCAGAGCCTCTAAGCCTCACTCAAAGAGCGAGAGACACGTGCATTTTCCTGACGTTACACACACATGCATGAAAGTCTGTGTCGGGCTCAGACAGAAAGATGAATGCGCCTCAAATCAGACGCCATGAACGCATCATTGTTCATGCAAAGTGTGGTAAAGGCACAAAATCCTGAAAAAAAGAGTGTTGTGTTTAATGTCCGGCGGGGTGGTTTCAGGCTTCAAGTTCATTGGGTGAAGTTGGTTTGAATTTCTGAGCTCAGCGGCGTCTGAGTGAAATCTGCCTCCTCTTCAGGGACATGGAGGCGTTACAGGGAGGCCGTGAGAGCTGGATGAGAACACAGTGAAATACAAACGTATGCTGCTGTGTGACCCTGTAGAGGTTCTAGAAATGTCTTTATTTTCTTTCTTTTCCCACACTGATGTTTAAGTGATGTTAATGCAAAGTTGGGAGGAAGCTTTGGTTAGTTTAAGATCCAGTCGACAGTTTGCTCCAGAGACAAGAGTAAAAATCAAGATGTTCCCACAGGACAAGCTACTGGAAGGTTTGTAGTTAACTGGTTAGTTAAGGAGGCCCATACGCTAGGTAAGCTAGTAAATCCTAATTCACCTCACAGACACCTGCTGGTATTATTACCAACAATATTTACTCTTTAACATGCACTTCTTTGGTATTTGAAAAATAATTCCTCTGTATGACTCAAGGTTTTCATTTTACTTGGAGCTTTTTACATTTTATCTATTTTATTAACCAAAAAACTCTTAAAACAAAAGTTAATCAAACAAAAACATGGATATTATATTCTTTCTGACTATTTTACTCTTAGTAATCTTCCACTTGTTTATCTGTTACTGATGAATGGGGGAGATATGATTAAACTTGTTCCATCAACCTTCTTAAACTTTCACTCTTCTTTATTCTTGGAGTGAATTTCCTATATTTTGAACGTTCGTTTATTAAAAGCGTTTCCTATATTTGAACCCAAAAAGAGAACATTGTCTCTGGTTCTTTACTTCTGACCTAGATAAGTCTCTAGATTTACTCATAAGCTAAGACTCCTTTCTCATAAGGGGAGTCTTAGTCTAGGATAACAAACCTTCCACCCTTCTACAGACCCCGACCCCGGACTGTCTACAGGGCCTTGCATCCGTATCCCAGGTTACCCTCGGCCACAGACGGGGTGAGTCCAGGACCAGGAGAGTGTGGAGAGGATTTCTCCTTGGCCAGCACTTTCCCCTGGGCTCAAATCCGAGTGGTAAGTCCTGAGGGCAGTGCCCACTTTTATTTATAAAGTCTGGCATTGTTACTCATGCAGTTGCAAATTGATTAAATTTATTTAGTGAAGGGTTTGCCACCTGTTGGATCACAAATAAATGCATTAAAAGCGATGCGCCAATCGGTGCTCTGACTTTCGAGTTAAAATCAAAAGAGGATCTGAAGGAAAAAGAATAAGTAAGTACGATAGAAAGGCAGAGGTGAAGCTTTAGAAGAGAAATTTTTAATTCTAGAGTGAGATTAATAACATCTCTAAAAATGAACCTACGTCTTTCATCACTGATCCCATCCAGCAGGAGCCTGTGGTCCGGAAGAAGCAGCTTCAGCAGTCTCTTCCCCCCCAGACCTCAACCTCTGATGCCAGAGTACGTCGACACTCTGCTGGACCTCCTGCCCTGGCTCAGGAGGTGAACTCCTCCACGGCAAACCCTCCACCTCAAACCCCACAGTTCCCGACACCACAGGAACCCAAACCCAGATTCCTCCACTACTCCATGGGAACACAAATCAGGAGTCCTCTACACCCGTCCACTGTTTCCACCGACCACTTTGCTGGCAGGTGATTCAATAATCAGGAATGTCCGCTTTTTGAACATCATAACGAGATGTTTTCCATCAGCCACCATACCTGCTCTCCTGGATAAACTTCCTGGTCTGCTGTACTCCATCCCAGCTTCAGTTTAAAGAGTGATCATTCATGTGGGATCAAACGATGTTACACGCCGGGAGTCCATCATCACTCAACAGCATATTAAATATCTAACATTCTGAAGAGGAGCAGAATGTCTGTTTTCATCTCTGGCCTGATCCCCACAGTTTCTCGTGGATATGGACTTTTAAGCCGTCTGCTCTCTCTCCACTCCTGGCTTCAGTCTGCTTGCAGGTCCCACAGTTTTGGTTTCATCAATAATTTTAACCTATTTTGGAACCGTTTCTCCTTTTTCAGGTGAGATGGTATTCACCCTAACCAACATGGCTCTAGCATGCTAACCGCTAACATCCGGTATGCTGTGCAGTCCCGTAGATATATATCTATGGTGGATTCCCTTCCACAGACATAACAGTTTACATCCCAGAGATCTTCACCTTCTTCAGCCATTGCTCAAACCTCCACTACAAATAACATCACCCCCCACAGTCCTCCCACAATGCAACTGTCTTATATGTGTCTTCCAAAGGTCACAATTCCCAAAATGCTGTCTTCTGCTGACGAACCCAAAAGTTTCCCTATTCCAGTTCATTTATCAACCAGCAAAGACATAAACTGTAGTCATGGCCGGAGAACCCAGAACACCAGATGTTTACGACCCGTCCCTCTCCAACAGGTTAAGAAGACAAATGTTCTCCTGTGTACACTTCAATGAAATATGTCCACCAAATGTCTCTGTGTTTACCACACCACGCCTGTCACGTTGTGGTGGAGGTCTTGCTGTGGTCTTTAATGACAAACATGTCTGTTATCTGGTAAAAATGGCCCTTTTACTACTTTGGAATATCAGGTTACAAAAGTAGGGATACAAAATGCATTTCACTGTATTTCAACCTCCTAGGGCCCGGTGTCCACAAGCGTGGACATTGGGCCTCTTACACTTTAAAATGTTATTCTCTTCTACTTAGACGTTTTTATTATTAATAGACACTTTATATGACTTTAATTGTCCACAATTTAAATGTCCACAGAAATATTCTACGTTAATGCACATGTGCAATCATCCACTGGGCTGGTCCAAGGCACCCCACAAGGGATCAGCATGAGATGGATTTGGACAGACTCATCTGTGGGTTGCCCTTACATAAATATAATAGGGGCCTACATGGGAAAACATATATGGGCCCCATTCATGCAACCATCCACAAGATCCTTGTGGATGAACTTTGAGGTAAGTGTGGGGTTTCGTTGCCCACGCTAGCTCAGACACAGCCCACAAAAGCCCATGGTGGGCCCAAACGGGCATGTTTGCTGGGAGGTTGCCAAGTGGCCAGTGAAACACACAGCATCAGTTTGTAAATCGGAGACAAGACCGAATGATGAGACTAAATCCAAAGAATGAGAACCGTCATGGATGGGTTCATGAACAAACCAAAGATGTCTAAAAGATCCAAAAAGACTTTCACAAAGGGCTTTGTAGGAGAACAGAGCTAAACGCTGAAGTCACCTAAAATGATCCCTGGATCATACGATCACTACCGGCACACAGAACAGGCTGATTCAAATCGAGTTCAAACGCTGACAGCTCAAAGCTCCTAGGGAGACCTAATCTGTGGAGAAGTTAACAGCGGAGAGAAGGTCAAAAAATAGACAACCCCCCCACCAACATCACCCCCCTGACCTGTTGATCTAAGAGTGTTCACTATGGAGCAGTCAGCAGGACAACGTTCAGAAATGATGGCTTACTCACCAGGGATGACCCAAGTCTCAGTCAGGCAGAACAAATCTAGTGAGCAATCCATGAAATGATCCTTCAGAAAACAGATTTATTGATGTGGAGGTTGAGGAGGCCCGCCGACGTGAAAGTGCTCACCACCTCAGGAACGCAGAGTTTGCAGGACATAGTCCACTGCATTGGAAACCTCTATACCTGTGACCGCTGGCGGCACCACTACGGTGGATTGGGGAGCCGTGAGGTAAACGAGACAAAGAAGGAAAGCTGATGGAGAGCTCTGAGCTTTACGAGGCGACCTGCCCGCTTTCCCCTTCAACGGTGCCTCTTGTGCAGCCATGCTGGATACAGGGCCGTGAGCAGGAACGCCAGAGCCAGCACATACAGTGGGGAGAAGGGACTTCAGCATTCGCTGCTTTGGAGCTTTAGAAAACCAGCTTTTTGGATCATATCCAGGAGGGAAAGTCAACCGTAAGATAAGAGGTTAGTAGAGGTAATCGGATCCGGAGCAGGAAAAGGACCGACAGCGGATGAAATAACATGCCGAACTCACTGGTGCCATCTTTGATTCTGATGTCAACATTGCTTCTTACCAGAGCCATTAGTTTACTTCACCATTCTGGTGAGACTTCACAGTGCTTGGTACAGAGGTGTGCTCATCCTCAGGAAACCTCCTGAAACGGATGTACAGACAGGGACCACTCTTTCTACTAACTCAGCTACTACCAAGTAAAGTGACTGACCTCTACACTCTTTAGGGTACCAGCCCCATTTCTCACTCATAAACAAGTATAGCAGAGCCATCCATCAAATGGTAAATAGCCCGTATTTGATATAGTGCCGTCTAGAGTTCTGGAACCCCCCAAGGTGCTTTACAACACAGTCAGTCACACACACGTTCACATGCTGGTGATGATGAGCTACATTGTAGCCCCTGCTGCCCTGGCGCACGCTGACAGAGGCGAGTCTGCTGTACATAGGGGTCACCGGTCCCTCCGACCACCACCAGCAGGCAAGGTGGGTTAAGTGTCTTGCCCAAGGACACAACAACAGCGACAGACTGAGCGGGGCTTGAACCTGCAACCTTCCGATTATGAGGTGGGCACCTAGCTCCTGTGCCACCATCGCCCCACAAGATCACACAAGATGGAAAACTCTTTTGTCCAAACAGTTCAGAACACAAGTCCTACACTGTAATGACAAATATTACAGTCCCTTTTAAAAGGCTTCAAGTATCAAAAATAACAAGGATTTGATCACAGCTGTGTGATGTTTTAGTTCAGTTTCATCTTTCAGCTCTTTGTTGAGCAGGACTAAATCAAAGATGATGGAGGTTTACTCTGTTAATGACATCGAACATTACATTATCATTGTGCAGCATCCTCATAGATGTGCTCTAACTGTGTTCCAGTACCCACAAAAACGTTTTGCAGAACAATTTCTAACACGATGAAGATGGTGAATCAAGGGTTAACGGAAGAATGAGAAGATGCAAAAGTCTGGTACTCTGATGTGTGAAAAAATGTGAGGATTTCAGTCTTTATCCTCCTTTTTGCACAATGTCAACACAGCACCTGTGTAGCTCGAACTACAGAGAATGACAGAACAGGACACTTTTGTCTCTGACCTCCAACTGGATGAAGCTGCCAGGGTTGTAGTGATAGACCTTCAGGGGCTCCTTCTTGTTGAGGGGCTGTAGGACGGGATTAGGCTCATAGCTGAATGTCTGAGAGCTAAAGCTGCTGAAGTCAAAGCAAAGGTTGTCAAGTACAACCTGCACTGTGACTTTTGACCCCAAAAGAGAAGAGTTCACCATCGGAGAGCGACAGAGCACCAGCGAGGAGGAATTCACCTCACAACGTTCCTTGAACTGATGAGAAGAAAAGCAAAGAAAAAAAGAGAATATTCATTTAGGGACCAGACCCCCCCCCCCCCCACACACACACACACACACACACCTGTTGGGCAGCACAGAGTGATCCACTACAACAGACCGGGTCAGGTACCATCCTGGTCAGCCTCTGGCGTGTCCTCCTCACAGCCTTGTGAGGGAGGAAACTTACCACCATCTGTGGGTTCTGCACCACATCCAGGTTATGACCAAACACAGAGATCAGTCGGCCACCACTAAATGAGAAGGACACAACACGATTTAAGTCTTCAAGGTCCTTTAAAGTAGAGGGTCACCAGGAGACAATGGCCAAAACTTACTTCACAAAGCTTTTGTCTGGCAGGGCATGGCTGATGTAAGGGTTGTGGGTGTAGTTGTAGAAATAATCACTGCTGTACTTGTCGCTGCCAAAATGAAGAATGACCCGGTGAATCCCGGTACTGTTACTGCTGCCCGTTACACACTGAACACTGGAGCTCTGCACCTCGGACACACTGAGACAGAAAACACATGTCCAGTGACAATGAGTGGTACAGTCCTCACTGCCCAGTAGCAAAAGGTGGGAGATTTACTGCCTCTTACATTCTACAGGGGACCACCCCCACAGTGATGGTGAGGTCAGAAGGGCGACCCGTCCGTAGGTTTCTGCCTGTGATGTTTAGTGTGGTTCCTCCAGCCTTTGGACCCCTTTCAGGAGCCACTGCCACTAAAAACGGGTTCTGAGAAGAAGGAAAATAATGAAGAGCTTAGTGTGATAACCAGTGTTGGGCATCCCACGTTTAAAAAGTAATTAGAGTTACAAATGACTTCTTTCAAAAAGTATCTGAGTTAGTAAACCAGTTACCACTGTGTAAAAGTAATTATTTACCTGTGACTTTACTTTTAGGTTCTAAAACACAATTATGTTCTGTAATACCTATAACATTTAACTGAATGATATGTCAGACTCAGTGGGTACGAAAAAACGTTTAAACCCCTGCCAATTTTTCACCCTTTGTTATATTGCAGTCATTTGCTAAAGTCAAGCATGTGAATCTTCTTTCCTCATTAATGTACACACAGCACCCCGTGGTGATGGAAAAGCTGACTAAAAAATGTCAGCAGTTATTAAATAAGACAAACTGAAATACCACATGGTCCTATGTATTAAGACCCTTTGTTCAGTGTTTAGTAGAAGCTCTTGTGAGGGGGTTCACTGGGGGTGTCTGGGACTGGGGGGCTGCTGTTGCTAACCATTTAAACATTCTCCCTCTCCTGATAATGACATTTTACTCTCTTTGACGTTGGATGTGCTACTACTAGTTTACCCGTTTAATTATAGATCCACTAGGATAAATACAATAAAGTTTATCTCTCACCAAATAGAATATTTACTAAGAAATTACAATGTAACCATAGAAACACTACTTGGTGTGTGTGTGTGTGTGTGTGTGTGTGTGTGTGTGTGTGTGTGTGTGTGTGTGTGTGTGTGTGTGTGTGTGTGTGTGTGTGTGCTCTGTCTTCTCCATCCCCAGTGAGTCGTGGAGGATGGCTGCTTATACTGAGCCAGGATTCTCTGGAGGTTTCTTCCTGTTAAAAGGGAGTTTTCCTCTCCACTGTCGCTGCATGCTTGCTTAATATGAGGATTGCTGTAAAGACTCTGTCACTAGTCAGTGACTCGATGCAACCTGCTGGGTTCCTTATATAGGAAACATTATTTCTGATTGGCTTAATGAACTGACCTGTATTAGAATGTTTATTATGTGAAGTGCTTTAAGACGACTCTTGTCGCGATTTGAAGCTTTATAAATAAACTTGAATTGAACTGAATTGCTGCCCCCATCTGGAGGTGCTTGGGTTGCCTCGGGGGGTGGACTACTGGCGGTTGTGAGTGGGGCCCCTTGGGGGTCTTGGCGGTGGCCATGGGTCGCTGCCTGGCAGCAGCATTGCCCCATAGCAGGTCTGGGTGGGGGCCTGGGGGCTCAAGTTGTGGGGGTGGACAGCTCCGTAATGTTGAGGTCTGGGGTGGTGGGTTGCTTCGCTCAGCGTTGGGCGGGGGAGCCTGCTCATCAGCACCCCAGCAGAAAGGGTTGAACTCTGGGAACCGGTGATTGTTGTACCCCTTGTGCAGCAGTACCGGGACCAGAGTGAATAGGGTGTGTATGGGGAGCATGAGTGGGTGTCCGGCATGCATTTTTGAATGTTTTTGGTTGTGTGTGTGTGAGCATGAGGGAGGGAGTGTGTGACTGTGTCTGTGTCTGACTGTATACAGTGGGGCAAAAAAGTATTTAGTCAGCCATCGATTGTGCAAGTTCTCCCACTTAAAATGATGACAGAGGTCAGTAATTTACATCATAGGTACACTTCAACTGTGAGAGACAGAATGTGAAAAAAAATCCATGAATTCACACGGCAGGATTTTTAAAGAATTTATTTGTAAATCAGGGTGGAAAATAAGTATTTGGTCAATAACAAAAATTCAACTCAATACTTTGTAACATAACCTTTGTTGGCAATAACAGAGGTCAAACGATTACTATAGGTCTTTACCAGGTTTGCTCACACAGTAGCTGGTATTTTGGCCCATTCCTCCATACAGATCTTCTCGAGAGCAGTGATGTTTTGGGGCTGTCGCCGAGCAACACGGACTTTCAACTTCCTCCACAGATTTTCTATGGGGTTGAGGTCTGGAGACTGGCTAGGCCACTCCAGGACTTTCAAATGCTTCTTACGGCGCCACTCCTTTGTTGCCCGGGCGGTGTGTTTGGGATCATTGTCGTGTTGGAAGACCCAGCCACGTTTCATCTTCAAAGCTCTCACTGATGGACGGAGGTTTTGGCTCAGAATCTCACGATACATGGCCCCATTCATTCTGTCCTCAACACGGATCAGTCGTCCTGTCCCCTTAGCAGAAAAACAGCCCCAAAGCATGATGTTCCCACCCCCATGCTTCACAGTAGGTATGGTGTTCTTGGGATGCAACTCAGTATTCTTCTTCCTCCAAACACGACGAGTTGAGTTTATACCAAAAAGTTCTACTTTGGTTTCATCTGACCATATAACATTCTCCCAATCCTCTGCTGTATCATCCATGTGCTCTCTGGCAAACTTCAGACGGGCCTGGACATGCACTGGCTTCAGCAGCAGAACACGTCTGGCACTGCAGGATTTGAATCCCTGCAGTTGTAGTGTGCTACTGATGGTGACCTTTGTTACTGTGGTCCCAGCTCTCTGCAGGTCATTCACCAGGTCCCCCCGTGTGGTTCTGGGATTCTTGCTCACCGTTCTCATGATCATTTTGACCCCACAGGATGAGATCTTGCATGGAGCCCCAGATCGAGGGAGATTATCAGTGGTCTTGTATGTCTTCCATTTCCTGATAATTGCTCCCACAGTTGATTTTTTCACACCAAGCTGCTTGCCTATTGTAGATTCACTCTTCCCAGTCTGGTGCAGGTTTACAATTCTTTTCCTGCTGTCCTTCGAAAGCTCTTTGGTCTTGGCCATAGTGGAGTTTGGAGTCTGACTGTTTGAAGCTGTGGACAGGTGTCTTTTATACAGATAATGTGTTCAAACAGGTGCCATTAATACAGGTAACGAGTGGAGGACAGAAAAGCTTCTTAAAGAAGACGTTACAGGTCTGTAAGAGCCAGAGATTTTCCTTGTTTGAAATGACCGAATACTTATTTTCCACGCTGATTTACAAGTAAATTCTTTAAAAATCCTGCCATGTGAATTCGTGGATTTTTTCACATTTTGTCTCTCACAGTTGAAGTGTACCTATGATGAAAATTACTGACCTCTGTCATCATTTTGAGTGGGAGAACTTGCACAATCGGTGGCTGACTAAATACTTTTTTGCCCCACTGTAGGTCAGGTGGGGCCTTTGACTCCTCCCCTCTCCTGGGACTTCTTTTGAAGCTATACATCTTTATCTCCCCTCTCCCTGCCACACCTGGTGTGGAGTGCGGTGCCTTGGTCTGCCTGAGTGTTCGTGGTTCCTGGGTCAGGGGGTTTAAGATTTTTGGCATCTGCCTGATAAATCCTAGTGGGATCTGGGTCCCCGGCGGGGGTGGTCACCCCAGGGTCCCGGGTCGCTAGGTTCCGGGATCGGCCAGCTAGGGGGTGGGAGGCTGCGGGCGGGCCTGTGGACTTGCTGCTGATATCTCCCGGGACTATGCCGGCTGCTTGTTGTGGCCCCCCGGGGCAATCCTCTGCACCTCTCGAGGGGGGCAGGGGCTTTTCTAGTCGTGGTCTCCCTGGGGTCCCTGTGCTCTGGGGCAGCTCCTGGATCTCTGGGACTTGGAGCTCCTTCCATCTCCTACAAATCTTTGGGGGCAGATCTGTGGCCCCTCACACTCTCTATTGGACGCTCCTATAGAGAAGCCTTAAAGAAACAAGCGCGTGTACGCACACAGGTGCTCACATGGTGCTCTCATAAGTATGGACTTGGGCATGTTCAACAAATTTCTTAAGGCTGTGGTTGGCACTAAATGCACTGTGATTTATTATCGTGTGATTGTTCAGCTAAACAATGTTGATTTTATATTTCTTCATCAAGTTGACGCAGGGATAGCTCGCTCCTGTTGTACTGTTTTATCCCTTTTCTACAGGCCTAGAAGCGGACTCTTGTTCATCATTGATTGTTTATTTTTGTGGAACCCCCACCCCACCCCACATTTTAGAGAAATATGATTTTGAATAGTTAACTCTGTATAGAACCTTAAACTGAATAAGCTGTAACCTAGCACATGATGCACTAACGAACGTTGGGCACCACGGCTTCCCAGACTTGATCTGAAAACGTTACACTTCTAAGTTCTTCTAATTGCAACCACCACAAGGGCATCCGAGTTCATAAGTTGTTTGTGTATGAGGGATGACATTTATTTTTTTATCGGATTTGAGTGCTCACAAGAGACGGATAGGAAATAAAGAGAGCAGAGACACAATGTCAAACTTGAAAATAACAGAACAGGTGAGAGGCCAGAAGATTCACTAAGGAATGGAGGCCTGACCAACTCAAAAACACACCATTCCTCTAAAGGTCCTTAAAGGTTGTATTTCCATTATATCCCTACTGCCCATATGCACCATCAGTAAGACCAGGGGAAATAAATGGTTTACGGATGTGGAAGTATATTTAAAATGGCTCTTGGTGTAATGTTGTGAAAGGCTAACAAGGTTATTTGTCCACAGCAATGTCACAGGTCAAATAGAAGGTCAGGTGTGCAGCAGCCTTCCTCTGCTAGGAATGTTGTGTTCTTCCCTGTACCAAAACAATTCCATCCAAAAAGGAGCCGTAATAAAGTCCTCCTCCTGTCTTCCATATCTGAGCTACCGCTCCAAGGTCCACGCAGAAGATGTTCAGCCTACAGGTTTACAATCATTCTGTGTTCTCTACAATGAATGTTCTATCTAAAGTTATTTAATGATCAATTAATTATCAGTTACATCCACATAATAATATCAGTGTATTAACAAATGAATGTTTAACAGACTTACTCCATATATTAAGTGAAATAAGCTTTCTAAGCGTCACAGAAAGGGGAGTGTCTGAGGGTCTTGGTAAAGGCCTATACACATTTATCCCATCTGATTGGTCAAACTTTATAAACAACCACTTTACTAAAAGTGAACTCACTTCCTATTTTCCCAGTTCTGCCAGAGCTCCGAGTTCAGCAAAAGCTCACAGCTCATGCTAAATGACCATCCTACGGGAACCAAACCAGATTTTTCA